AAATATTTCCCCAAATATATTCTTTTTAAAAAATATATATTTTATTGATTTTTTTTACAGAGAGGAGGGAGAAGGATAGAGTTAGAAACATCGATGAGAGAGAAACATCGATCAGCTGCCTCCTGCACATCCCCTATTGGGGATGTGCCCGCAACCAAGGTACATGCCCTTGGCCGGAATCGAACTTGGGACCCTTGAGTCCGCAGGCCGACGGTCTATCCACGGAGCCAAACCGGTTAGGGCTCCCAAAATTCATTCTACCAGGTGTTCCTTTAAATGCTACTGGACCCAGTCTGAGACCCTACTCTGAGACCCTACCGGCCCATTCCATCCTCAGGATCCAAGCAACCCTTCCTCTGTACTAGGCTAGCACAGGCCCCAACACCTTTATGTCTTCATTTCTCTTACTCCTTTCTTTTCCCGCCCTCTCCCATTGCATATATCTCACATTTCTCAGCTTCATTTCCCCCCAAACCTCCCGTATACCCAGGCCCACAGGTAACGCCTGAATCCTTGAAGTTAAATCACTTTCATCCATTCATTCATTCCCCTCAAATCTCTCCTTCTAGCTACTTAAAATGATGCTCAGGTCTCCTTGTCCACTTTTCTCCAAGCACCCACACCACCATTGTCCCTTTATCTGCAAAAGCCACAAAATCAGCTGTGAGGTGAGCTCCAGAAATGCGGGAGTTCTCAGATCTGAGGTTGCCTCTCCTCCCAAGGTGGAGCCAGCTCCCCTCCCCCAGCCCATTCCCTCCAGGCTCCGCAGGCTCCAGCCTGACTGCCCACCAGTCCCTCCCCCCAGCTCCAGACACCTGGCTCCAGCCTGGGTGGGGTCCTGTAAGGGGGAAAAGTGCCTCCTCACCTCCCTCTCCAAGCTGGTCAGCTTCTCTGAATTCCCCTAAGCACTGTCAGCTAGAGACTCAGCAGACTTGGCTGCCAACTTGCTACAAACCAAAGCCCTGGGCACGGGCGGTGGGAGGAGTGTCGGGAATAAGGCCAAGGCCTTGGAGGTGGGCACCCACTGCCCAGTCAGCATGACCCCTAAGAGGCCTGGCCTTGCGGTGGCGTGTCAGTTCTCAAGCTAGGCTGACCAGGGCCCCTCCCCCACTCTGGAGAGGAGAAGGAGAGTGAGAGAGGCAGGGAGAGAGAGAGAGAGAAGCAGAGAGAGGCTTTTAAAATTCCTCTCTGGAGAGATAAACATAGAAGCCATTTCAGAACAGGTATTTCAGCTCTGGGCCTGGCATCCTTCCCCCATTCCAGTGAAGGGCACTGACTCATTCCTCATCCACCTCTGCCACCCTCCCTGGCATTCAGGAGAGTCCGTGAAAATTTACCTTGTCAAATGTGGACCCCAGGATGGCACAGTGTCCACTAGCCCTGGGCACTTGCCCCCAGGCAAAGGGGGCTGGCAGGTCTGAATGGGCAGGGTACTTGTCCCTCCAGCACCAAGGAGGCCCGTGCCCAGCTCGCAGTTGCACCACCCTTCCCACGCTGTCCCCTCCAAGATCCCAGGGCCGATGGATGCTCGCTGCCCTGAGTCACTGTGCCAGCCTCACACCCGCCTAGCTCCTTGCCACCTCATCTTTGGGCCCAGCTGAGGGCCTAGCTTGGCTGCCCGCGGACTCCAATCTGGGCTGGCTTCTCTTTAGTCCTGGGTATGGTCGGGGTACAGGTGGCCAAGTGAACAGGGCAGAACTCCGCTTGGTGGGGGCACCCATCACCCCCTTCCTGGGGTACAATCTGCTCCACTTAGGGCCCTTTTGACTCTTGCTCCCCATCTGGGAAAGGGGGGCAGTGGCGTCAGGGAAGGCGCGGAAAGGGGCAGGGAAGAGGCTCCTTCCTGAAAGAGAGGAAACCTGGGAGCTTGGGAACGGAAAAGGCCAGGGTCACCCCCTCCCGACTCACGGCTTCCTGTCCCCTCCTCCTCCTTCAGCCAGCACCTGGCATGGGCATAAACAGGGACTTTGCTCTCTCCCACTAGGACAAGATTTGGTCAAGGAAGCAAAGAGCAGACAGCAAGGAGCAGACAGCAAGGAGCGGGGTGGGGGAGGGCTGACTGGGCTGCCCCCTTTAAACCATGGGCAAGAGGGGACTGCCCTCTGGGGTTGGCAGCTAGCTGTTCTCACCCAGCATGCCACAGGCACAGACCCTCTCACCCAGCAGTACTGCTGCAGGCCCAGAGGAAGCTGGCACAATGTCTTCATTAGGGGGGGTTCGGGGGGCAGGCGCACTAGGGCTGGGGGTGGCCCAGCTGAGTGTAGTGTTTTTCCTGACCCCACGCTGTTCAGCCCTCCTGGCCATGCTTCTCCCTGCCCCTCCTCTCCTGTTTCTCCACAGATATTGTTCCCATAACTTCAGAAAACTCAAGGGCGAGAACAAAGGGTCCCACGGAGCTTCTTCAGTCCAGGACCATTTGCCTCGAGGCCCTAAAACTGCCCAGGAGGAATTAACTCCTCCCTGCCCGGAGCCCTGGGTAACCTTTTAACCCCTTCCATGCCGTCTGAACCTTTCCCATGACCTCCCTCCCCCATCTCTTTAGTTTTACTACGTGAGCCTCGTAAACAGATGACTACCTTCGCCTGCTCACCCACAGCGCGTGCCTCACTCCTGTCATCGCTAAAGATCCCTTGGTGGGGAACTTCCCACCATCCCCTTAGGTACAGAATGAGCCTTAATGGCGCAGCCCCGGCCCCTCCTGAGGGGTCCTTCTGGGATTACAGCGAGCATTCGGCTTCCTCCTGGTGTCACGCCAGGTACCTGTCAGTGTGGGCAGATGCCCAAGTGACAGACAAGGAGAGGGGTACAGGCTTTGGTGGTGGTGGGACCGGCCACAAGGGCCCTGGTGGCCAGGGAGGGTGGTTGGTCCGTGCGGGAGGCAGGGTCAGTTCAGCATGGGTGCCTCACTTCGGAGAAGGAGAGGTGCCACCGGGAAGGAAAGGAGGGACAGAAATAGAAATAGAAATAGAAATAGGAAGCAGACACGGGCAGGTTCCTACCCTGGGTGGCCTCCTCCCAGGTCTGGGGGAGAAGTGGGGGGAACACATTTAAGGAATCCCTCCCGCCTCTGGTCGGCACCCCAGGACTCCAGTCAGGGTCTGGCTGGAACAGTCAGCCTGGGTGCAAGGGCAGTGCCACCGGACGCCCCTGTGGGCCGGAGACTCGGGCTTACTTGGGGTTTGAACTGTTCCAGAAGACGGTGTGGCGGTCGGCAGCGGCCAGACTGTAGCAGAGACCCAGGAGCGGGGCCCAGAGGAACTCCATATCGCGGGGCCCGTGCAGGCCGGGCGGGGGCGAGGGGCTCGTCAGGATCCGGGCTCCCGCTGGCTTTCTCCCCGGCGCAGTCGGCTCAGCACTCAGATTTCGCAGTCGGCACAGGGCTCACCGATTTGGCTCCAGCGCCTCCGGACTCCGCC